TGTATATATATATATATATACATACATACCTACATATTGTATACTGAATGAGCTTTTTATGAAATAAATGATGTTATATATTTATTTGTTACATTGTGGACCTTAGAAATGTTTGTTTTTAGGAGAAAAAAGTGAAAACAAGTTCATTATCAATCTACACATCGTTTTGTCTATAATTTATAATTCTAAAGTAATTTTGCTTATTGCACAAAAAATTACATCTCTTCTGGTGTTTTATACTTTGCAAAGTAAAATTTGTTTTATTAGTTATGTAGCTAGAATATTAGCCTCCATAGAAATGTATTTTTCTAGCCATCATGCTAACCGTTGTAGCTTGTTACGAACGTGTGTTGCTCCTCTGATAGACGAGCCATGACCAAGTATCACCAGAAAAAGTCTACAACCAACCAACTGCCCATCTTTAATGGGCCTAGAGTTTAGTAGAATTACCCCCTCTGGTACTGAAAACCACCGAATAACCACTCTGAGTCAAAGCTTTTATGTCCAGTTTGAGTTTTTTTTTTCAGGCACTTAAACCCAGGATAGTACGATGAAAACATTTTGTTGTTTGGACATTACGGCTCTTTAACACTGTATACCTTGAATAAATTATGTACAGTATGTACCTGTAAAAAACTAAAACTAATAAGAAACTTTATTGACATTTGGTTTTAAAGTGAACATTTTCTTCAACTATAAAAAGCAGACTGTAAAAATACTGTAGACTCTTTATACATTAAAAAAACATGTTACACAAACATCACTATATTAATTCATGCAGCAAAGCATTCTGGGTAAATTTATGACAGTTAGCTGCTTTTTTGCAAGCTCTGTCCAGCTTGAAGAACTTGGACAAAATCTGAGGTTTGAAATGAAACCAGAGCACATTGACAGAGAGGAGAATGACGGTCTGAAACTGAAGATAATGATGGAGGAGAACATGGCTGCTGCATGGAAGGACAGCCTCAGCTTAGCCTGTTAGCTTATTACTATGAAGATATAGCATTAGCTCCTGAGCTAATTGACTCTTTGCACATGCCATCATGCTGCGTTCCAGTTGTATCGTAACTCGAAATTCTGAAGCCGGACTGACGTCAGTTCCGAGATGATAGCGTTCAAGTTTCAAACTTCGGAAAAAGCGTTTCTATTATTTTGCTCTGCAACAATAAAACGTGCAATACTAGTGTTCTACGAGGTATTTTGAGTGTACATACAGTGTTAAAACATACAGTATATTTAACTATCACTATATAAAGCACTACAAGTACGTCTGACGTAATGTAAAATGAATAACACAGAACAAAGCCGCGTTTGTTTACATGCAAGACTAAAAACATTAGCAGTTAGCTCAGACAAGCATGCTAGTATGCTACATACATTAAACAAATATAAAAAGGGAATATAAACAAACAAATTACACTCGTTTTTATTCTGCCTCCTCTCTTCTTACTTTCTGTCTGTTAAATAATGGGGATGGTGCTTGTGTATGTTTGATTACAGCTCAACATTAGCCGTTAGCTTGGAGAAACATGCTAATGATAGCGTGACCGCTTACAGTTTCATGCGAGCAGCAGCCATGTTGAAACAATAACGTAACGCAAGCTCAGGCTGCTCGGGTATGGTTTGGATACGCTGACCTCCCGACTCGAAACTACGACTTCAGGGGGCGTTCCAGTTGAAAAATAGAACTCGGAGGCTCGAAGCTACGACCTCCGAGGACAACTGGAACGCAGCAT